ATATATATATATATATATATATATATATATATATATATATATATATATATATATATATAAACAGGAGAGGAGCTCCGCTTCTCTTCTAGATTTTCTACTTAAAAAAATTAATTTAACCTAACCCATCCTATACACTTTTGGTAAAAATATTGAGTAGAGGTCCGATTCGTATAATTTTGCTCTTAACTTATATTATGAAGGATATATCCCTCAATATGGTCAAGGTCAAGGCCTTGGGTTTAGGGGTCCTCTAAACAGTAGTTTTATCTTAAAATTAAACGTATTAAGTTTTATTTTAAATAGTGATGTGAGTTTTAATGGACAAAATTATAATGTTTTATATCAGAGCTCGGTACACGTTTCATGTTTCGATCAATTTTCGGCTGGCTTCGTCTAACATTATTCTTCTTATCTCATCGTCCCTCGCGCAGCTTATAATAGCTTTCCACTATTAAAAATATATGTTTACAAATCAATCTAAGTCTCAAGCAACTCAAACTGCGCGTCGAGCGATGCGGTAAAAGAAATAGTGCTATGCGGAGTAAGTCGAAAATCAGTTGAAATATATGATGCGTACCGAACTCTGTTCTATATATAATATATAATATATAATATATATAATATATAATATATATAAAATAGTAGATTCTATATATAGAAGGCCATGATTATTGAAACTTTTTCTATTATCTAGGCAACGATATTGGAAATAGATCGTTGACATGTATTAGGAAAGCAGAGAAAGTCGGGATTACATACAACGGAAAGATACGAATTATTACGGACCATAATTTCTCGGTTTTCCAAGTTTTTCCAGACATTGATAGACCGTAGGGAACATATCTGGGCAAACATCAGTTTCTACAGAAATCACAAGTGTGTAGATTTCCATTTCATTAAATAATTGTAACGGCGTGTTGTCATCCGTATTTCTTTCCCTAGAACATTATGCACATACTTTGAATGTATTTCCTAGAGCATTATGCATATATTTTGAATGTATGTAAAGTACACACTCACACACATATGCACATGTGCATAGATTATATAATTTTTATATTAATTTAAGTTTCCGCATTTTTCAGCAAAGGGTGACACTTATTTGCATTACGTGTTTGTACAGCTCAATCTATTTGTTTGGTGAATATTAACTATTCAAAGTGTAATTGTTTTGACAGTAATCTATTTTAAGGGATAGTTGCTAAAATTGTACTAATTCTATCTCGTATCTTTATTATTATTGAATAACCACATTTAATAGTAAAAATGAGAAATAATCTCAGCAAACGCAAAATATAACTTATACTATATAGAAGTAAGACGTAATATAACTGTTACTTATATTATATGTTACTTTTTATTTAATTTTTCAATTTATTTTTATTTATTAAATTTTTTATTTAATATTAAGGTTTCTTAATTTTCTTTTTTGGTGTTCATTTTTATAACGAAGTTTTTTTAAATTTTTATAAGCAGATTTTTTAATTGATGGTAATTACTTTTGTTAATAACAATCACTTGCAACCAAAATATTAGTTATAGTAATGTGAATGAATATATTTTAGCAAATAATCCATCTGGAATAGCAAGATACCCTTTTATATTATTACACCTACTAGATCGCATTTTTTATATAAAATAATTGCACTTTTTGGAATATATTTTTACAACATATTTTTGACTGATATTTGCTTGACAATTTGTAACCTTTGTGTGTGCGTACAATTATATTAACCGTAATTATATTAATTATATTTGCTAGGAAATGAGTAATTTATAACTATATAAGGTGTTCCATTTTAAAAGATGCATCCTGATAATTCCTCAGTTAAGCATATTCAGCAAAAATGTTTCAGATAAAAGTTATATGGTTCGATGGAGGACATAAGAGGGTACCATTGTTTTGACCTTATCTGGCGCCGCTAAAGTCAAGTCGAAGTCAACTTTGCTTATTTAAATAAAAATATATATTTTTTATTACGGAATTTTATTCTATTTAAAGAAACAAACAACTTTTGTTTAAAAATATTTTTTATACGACCTCTATTTTCTAAGATATTTACGGAAATATCTACAAAATTATTGGTTGCAATAATTTTTTACTTGAATTCTATCAACTTTACGAAAAATAGCAAGAGACAAAAATTTTCTATTTTCTTCTCATAGAACTCAGTAAAGTTTTTCAGGATTTTTTAATTAACTTTTTAGTACTGCATTTTCTTGCATTTTCTTGAAGTACTAAAAAGTTAATTAAAAAATTCTTGGAGCTCTATGAGAAGAAAATAAACAATTTTTATCTTTTGCTATTTTCCGGTAAAGTTGATAGAATTCGAGTAAAAAATTATTGAAACCAATAATTTTGTAGATATTTCCGTAAATATCTTAGAAAATAGAGGTTGTATAAAAAATTTTTTCAAACAAAAGTTATTTGTTTCTTTACATAGAATAAAATTCCGTAATAGAAATATATGTTTCTATTTGAAAAAGCAAAGTTGACTTAGACCTGTCGT